GGATTCTAACTCGTGTGGCGAAACATTGTATGTATAGGTCCACGTTTTGGTATGGCCCCCTTATAACGGTACCTCCCGATATTCGGTATTTTGATGATTTTTGCCACATTTTTTCATGGATTTGTCTAAAAATTGGAATTTGTTGGCCATGATGAGTTTGGCCATGAGTTGGCCATGAATGTCCGGTGCCGAAACATTGTATGTATGGGTCCACGTTTTGGTATAGCCCCGAAAACGGTACCTCCCGATTGTCTAAAAATTTGTATTGGTGGGGTCATAACGGGTTGTAGCTCGTGTTGCGAAACGTTGTAAATATAGGTCCACGTTTTGGTGGACCTATTCGATATTTTGATAAAAGTTGGTATTTTTAGTTCATAATAGGTTCTAGCCCGGTGGCCATAAAAAAAATTGTAAAATAATATTATAGATCGCTTCCAAAATATTAATTTTTGAATACAGAAAAATTATGATTTAACTTTTATCGATGAAGTGACCTGATAATATTTTTTCGGTGTTAGTAGACATAAAAACGAAAAATTGCTCCATGTCTCGCAAACGCTTTATTTTTTTAATTTTACGAAAAATATACAACTCATTTGTCATAAATAGCCTTGGCGTTGATATTTTAATAATTTAAAAACTTTATTTGTATTGCAATAACAAAAAAGCTTTACTGTCAGTGTCATATTATTTTGAGATAAAATAAAGTATTATTTATGTTCAATTCGTAACTTAGTGCAAACTATCGCAGTTGTATCCGATGGTAATCACAAAAAAAAATCCAACACACGCTACATCTTCTTCTTCTCGCCACTAAATAGTAACTCTTTAATGATAGAAAGTAAACAACAATACTTTTGTTATTGTAAATTTACATACCATCGCATTTATTAGGATTAGAAGCGTCGCAGAAGTGGTATCTTAGAGAGGAAGTGAGTAACTCACTTCTAAATGCTTACAGGGTCATTCATGGTAATAACTTCGTCACTAAGTCCATCATCCATACCAAATATGCCTTATGAGGCGCTTAACCAACGGTGAAACGCACCGCATAGTGGAGAGTGTATGCTAGTAAAATCATGCAAAACTCAATAATTAAATAAATTTACTACATCTGTCTTAAGCCTATATCCTGTCCTCTAATAATTTTGGCCATCAGCATCAATGATATCCCAAAATTATCACTCAATCCTGCTGCTGCTCTCTAGCAATTTGCACAAAATTAACACATACTAATGGTGAAAGCAACAAAGAAAAAATGAACCAAGAGATCAGGTCATATGATTCCCCCACTCTGAACACACACACAGGCCTATTGACCACCTATGTGTCATCGATTTCATTTTGGAAAAATAATTTTTTTTCTCTTCAAACAAAACCACCTAAAAATGTTGATAATTTGACAACAATTTTTTTTTTTTTTTTGAATTGTTCAAATCAATGCAAGGCGAGACGAGTCGAGACAAGATGTGGAACACAGTGGGGAACATTGGTGTTTGCCTGCGCTTTTTTTTTTGTTGTTGACAAACAAATGCAACACCCCTACAACAAAAAAAAAAAAGACAACTAAGGAAGTAATGAAGACAACAACAACAACGATGAGACACATAAAAGTAAATGTTTGTTGTTCTTTAGTGATTTTTGAATTGAGCCATGAAGAAGCATGAGAAACAAACACAACAACAACCACACAAACACATGTATTTGTGGCACTTATGACAAGACAAGAAGATATTGGCGGACAGACAGACATGGAACCAAAAAGGCAAGAAAGGAAACTCCTTAAATGTGCCGACGACGACAACAAATAACACGACACCCAAGACCAGCAACAACAACAACAACAACAACAGGAACACAAACCGTAACGACTCAATTTGTGCTAAAGATGGCATTTAGTTGAGAGCCCCTGGGGTTTTGCTGTTGCTCTCCCTCTCTCTCTCTCCCTTTCTTTCTATCTCTATTTGAGTACAACAATCAACAATGTGCGGTACTTCTCCTTTGGATTTGAACAAATTTGTTCTGCTTGCAGAAACAGGAGTAATAAACCAAAATATTATGAAAACTCCTGCTGTTGCAACAAAACAAGAAAGACCTGCAGAGTTCTGCGATTTTTTGTGGTCGGGACCCTCCTTGGCGAGGAAAAAACAAAACATTTGCCATGGCCTGCGTGTGAGAGCGGGAATGAGAGGCAAGATCATCACCAAGAATGGAGAAATTTGCTACGTTGTGGTGTGGTGTGGTGACGCTACTGCTACCAATTTTTGTGGATTTCCAGCCGAGTGCAGTTGCAAATAGCCATCTCGTACAAGGACTTTTTGTGTGTGCTTCTCTTCGGTTGGATCCCACTGGGCAGAACAAAATGATCTCTTTCTCCAGTTGTTGGGTACACAGTTTGTTTTCGTGTGTTTTTGTCACACAATTTGTTAGGCTCTTCGTGTCTGCCCTGCTTGGATGCCAAATATTTTCGTTTTTGTTGTTGTCCCGGTTTTCTTTTCTTTTGGCAGCGTCGTGGAAGATAGGTCCTTTTTTTCTGCGGTTACAATTCCTTTGCCCCCGGCAAATATTTACCACGAATAATTTGTAACGCTTCACCATGGCATGGCTAAAACGTTGACAAAACATTGATATCTCCATTGCCCTGGGTTTAGACTGCGAAGGCAAAATAAAACCAAAGCAGATAGCAACCATGTCAAACGAAATTGACTACTCGTCGTGGAGTCACCTGTGGTGTTCGGTATTCCTCTTCGGTTTGGGTTTTGTCAATTTGCCATAAATTTTCAAATATTTTGGCCCTAAATCAGCTTGAATTGCCTGCCCTTTTTATGTGTTGGCCTAAAGCGTTAGGTTACTTGTTGATTATAAACCTTAGCTCACATTTAGTAGGAGGACAGAATTCCATGATAAAGGCTGGAATAGAATTGGGGATGGGCAATACGCTTGCTTAGTCAAATGACAAATCGAAAAGTAACATTTTGGCCTTTTTGAGGATATAGATCGGATTCGCTTTCTAATTTAGATTATTTTTTGCGGAGTCGATCGCTCAGACATAGAGAGCCCATGCACAACATATGTGTGTAGAGTCTTAAACCCTTTTTCGACAGGGTAGACTTTTGATAAGTCAAACGTGGCGCCCAGCATCATATGTTAGGATATTCTTTTAAAATTTACAGTTGGGCGCCACGTTTTATAATTGTTACATCACAAAAACGCTGCTGTTAGGAAAATATTTTTAGAGCTAGAAAGGGTATATATTCTCATATCTCTATATAAAAAAAGCTTTTTTAGAACCTAGGTCTCTTTGGATAAAATTCGTTTCACGACATTTGGAGTCGATCTAGCGAAATCCGTCCTTCTGTCTGTCTGGCTTGTGCCCATGATAACTCTCGAAGAGAGTATCCGATTTGATCCAAACTTGGTACATCGTAATATTTTTGTCAAACCTAAATCGAGTTCGGGGATGGGCAATATCGAACCACTAATTCTGGTACCTTTCCCACAAAAGATCGAAATGTTCAAAAAACTTATTTTCTGCATAGAAAGCGAAACATTAACCCGATTTTGCTCTAACTTTGCAAATCCTAATATTTGCATCTGTAGTAGGTCAGGTGCGAAAATGGAAAATATCCATCCACTCCATCAAGTAACTCCCCCACAAAGGGTCAAAATTGTGAATAATTACAACACTTATAAAATGTGATGTAAGTGTCCGATTGTCTTCAAATTACAAACATCGCAATATTTTTGTTAACCCAAGATCTGGTGTGAAGATGGAATATATCGGTCCATTCCTTCTGGTACCTCGCCCACAAATTTTGAATAACCAAAACGATCATAAAATCCAAAATAAGCATCCGATTCTCTTCATATTTCGCACATCACAATATTTTTATTAACCAAAGATCTGGTGTAAAGATGGAACATATCGGTCCACACCTTCTGGTACCTCTTCCACAAAGGGTCATCATTTTGAATATTCATGAAGCTCATAAAACACGAAACTAACATCGGATTCCATCCAGATTTGACATATCTCAATATTTCCATAAACACAAGATCTGTTATAAAGATAGTAGATATTGGACAATTCCTTCTGGTACCTCCACCACAATGGGTTAAAGTATTGAATAACCAAAACGATCATAAAACCCGAAATATATATCCGGTTCTCTTCAAATTTCACACATCTCAATATTTTTATTAACCCAAGGTCTGGTGTTAAGACGGAATATATCGGTCAACTCCCTCTGGTGCCTCCCCCACAAAGGTCGAAATTTTGAATATTCATGAAGCTCATAAAACGCAAAATTATAATCCAATTCTCTTCAGACTTGGCACATCTGAATATTTCTACCAACACGGGATCTGTTATACAGATGGTAGGGATCGAACCATTCTTTCTGGTGCCTCTCCCACAAAGCTTGGAAATTTGACACCTAACCTCTCAAAATTCCGAATATTAGGACTATGAAATCAGTCATATGAGGACTATACCAAAAAGTGGGGTTCCATTGAATTCAGCAGATTTGGATGGAAAATGGGGCCAAAACCTTTAAAATATCCAAATTCAAGTAGTACTTCTATTTGGGCGCCATTTCAAGAATTTAATCTACATTAAATTTAAGGATATCCTATAAGACACATGTCACTACAAACATGGTGCCGTCAATTTTAAATAGAAATCAATAAAATTGACAAAGCTTGGAGTCAACTGCAAGAAAAAGCATCGTATAAGCATGGGTGATGCTTAAAAATTAATATTTCTTCAAATATACATTTTCTAATTCACTTACGATTCATTAATATTATGTTTCATATTCACATTGTTTCTATTTACCTTTACATTAACGTACGTTACGTCCTCCACTAATCATACATGTTTAGGCTATGCAAAGTAATATGGTTTATGCTTCCTCTTCGTTCCTCTATTTCTCCTGGTCATGCAAAGTGAGATGTTAACACCTATGGTTGAAGTGTTGCACAGTTGTACTTTCTTGGCACCTTTCGCTCAACAACACTGTCATTATTTACGTGTCACCTGTAGTTTTCTTTTTTTTTTTAGTTTTGAACAAAAACTATAATTTTTTTAAATAAATAAACAATTTACGGATAAAAACAATAGATAAAACAGAGACATAATGGTTGATGAATGTACCAAAAAGACTTTGAGCAGCATACCGCTGCTACAGACCCGTGCTGGGCCCCGTGACAAAGATATATGGGTGCAACGTTTGAAGGAGGAATATTTGGCTTTGATTAAGGTAAAGATTCACTATTGAATAAAAATATTACAAACAATAAAAATATTACAAAATATTCAAACAAATGTTGTCCTTAATGTTACAGTATGTCCAAAACAACAAAGAAAACGGTTCCGATTGGTTCCATCTGGAATCAAACAAAGAGGGCACCAAATGGTTTGGCAAATGCTGGTACATGCACAATCTGCTGAAATATGAATTTGATGTGGAATTCGATGTAAGTGAATGAGAAATTAACACAAATTTTTTCTCTTAACATAAAAATTTGTTTTTCTAGATACCAGTAACGTATCCTGTAACCGCTCCCGAAATAGCCTTGCCCGAATTGGATGGCAAAACAGCGAAAATGTATCGTGGTGGTAAAATCTGCTTAACAGATCATTTCAAGCCGTTGTGGGCGAGGAATGTACCGAAATTTGGCATTGCCCATGCCATGGCATTGGGGGTAAGTTGGAAAACCGAAGCTTTAAGATTAGGGAAATACAGGGTGAGGTAAAAAAAGTTCAACAAAGTCAAAGGCCATAATTTTTGCATTATTTTTAAATTTTATTGAATGAGGGCAAAAAATGTCGGAAATAACATCAAATTTTGGAATAAGTTTAGATTTGTTCGAATTGGTCACCTTTGGCACGAATTATGTCCTTCAAACGGCCAATGAAACCGTCACACGCTGCCCGAATGTTGATCTGCGGTATTTTGGCCCACTCCCGGCGAAGCGCTTGTTTGAGGTGATCGACACTTTGGTATTTTTTAGTGCCAACCTTGCATTCCAAAATACTCCAACGGATTGGTACCCAGAGATTTCGGTGGCCATTGAGCGCTGCAAAATGAAAGGAGGAATCTCATTTTGTAACCATTCTTGGGTGGCGCGTGCTGAGTCCTGTTGGAATGTCCAAGGTCTGCGGCCAAAATGTTTGCGTGCCCAAGGCTTTAATACACCCTCCAGAATATTTTCGCCGTAATATTCGGCATTTATTCTGATGCCACAGTCGATTAATACGAGCGGAGAGCAACCATCGGCTGTTATGGCGGCCCTTGAGTTCTGGTGGCCAACGGAAGGTGCACATTTTCAGCTGACCTCTTTGGCAAGTAAAGACGATCATTTTGTTTGTTTACAAACTGCTGGACAACGAATGTTTTCTCATCGGAGAAAACCAAATTCGGCAGTTCACCACTTTCGCCCAAGCGTAGCAACTCTTTTTCTTCAGTTCTTGCATTTTTCAATATTTGCAGAAGGGAATATTGCGCTTTGTTGTCGGACGTGTGGCTTAGAAATGACAGCAGTCTGAAGTTGTTTGCATTTTTTTTCACCCTGTATATATACATACCTACAGGACTCTGGTAAAAATAATAGATCTCTATTGATAGAAACCCGTCTTGGAAAAGGGTATTTTTATGAAAAATAACTCTGCAGCAAACCAAAGGCCATCTGACTGAAGGCCATCCTCCACAGTCCAATTTTTTTTTGAAATTATGTTTCTATTAAAAATCGCTTAATGCCCACGATCTCCAGTGACCTAGGGACAAATCCAATTGCCTCTCTTATGCTTGCTCATTCTATTAGCGAAACTTACTAATTTTTATTTTTATTTTTATTTTTCTCCTTTCAGTTGGCACCCTGGTTGGCGGTTGAAGTTCCCGATTTAATAGAAAAAGGTATTATAACCTACAAGGATAAATGAGAGCACAAACAAAACGCGTTCCAGTAATTATTGATCAAATTTTATTTTCCCCCCCCAAAACTTGATCAAAAAACAAAGTAAAATTCCACGGATATCTTCTGTTAACCTTTTAGAGGTTTTTGAATGCATCTTTGCTTGGTTTCTTTTTTTATTCATATTTAAATAGATTTTCATCCTCTGGTTGAAAAAAAATATTTTTTTTTGTAAATATTTCAGCTGGAAAATAGTTAGAATAAAATGGTAAAACAAAGAGGAAAAACAAACAATAATAAAGAACAAACTTTTGAAAACAATTTTGAATTTTTTTTTGTTGGCTTAGGTTTTTTGTAACATTTTTTTTAAATGTTGAAATAAAAATTAAAAAAAAAATAACAATTTCAATTTCCAAAATATTTAAACAAGTATTTAAAAAAAAATAAAGAAAACAATGGCATTTTTCTGGCCTCAAAGAAAAAAATAATAAAAATTTCGATTTTTTACAGATCATTAAAATGAAAAACAAATCTATGAATTTTTTGTTCCAATTTGTTTTTTTGAAATTATTCATTTGAGTATTTCTTTTGTTTATTATTATCATCATCATTTGTTCTGGACACCACCATCGGGGGTGGTGGGCTGTTATGAATAAAATTAAAAAAAAACGTTAAATTAGTTCGGTGTGTAATACAGTGTAAATTGAGAATTGTGGAAAGGGAGTTTTGGTTAAACGTTTGTTAAATTACTTAAAGTATATCCTTTTTTTATTTATAAATTGTTATTTGTTGGCTTAAGTTTTTTGGTATTTCTTCTTCTTCGTTTTATTTGGGAGGGAGAAGGAGGATTTCTAAAAAAGAAAAAAACAAAACACAAAACAATATTAATCCTTTTTGTTTTTAGAAAATCCCAAGGATTTTACAGTATGTATGTAAAACTCTACGAAAAAAAAAAATTAATAACTTTAAAATTAATTAACAAAAAAGATTTTGGTTATTTGAAAAAAAAAGAAAATAATAAACAAATTTTGGAAAATGTCAAGTATTCATGAGAAGTTAAGGATTTTAAAACATGGGCTGTCGCTGCTGCATCCGTAGTTGAATATTGTGATTGTGAAAAAAACGTCTTGCCGCCATTAAGCAAGGTTTTATTCTCAAGATTGATTGAAGGCTGAATGTTATTGGGCTTTAAAAGTTGTGTGCGTGTGGCAAACATTGCTAGCGGATATAGCTGGAAAGAGAAGAACAAAAATATCTATTTTAATAATATAAAAAAAAAATAACATTCGGCCGGACCGAATTTTTAAACTCTGCAGAGCTTTCCATAATAAATAAAAGTTTTTATGAGGGATTTGTGAGAGTTAAATCATACCAACTATGATTATAGTTATAATTTAAGGTGGCCGAAAATGGTTCGTGAGCTGAACATATCGCAATATTCCATTCGGCAAATATTGAAAAATGAGCTCAGGGTAAATAAAGCCATTGAAATTTCAAAAAGTGCAAGTACTTACACCTCAACAGTAGGAAAATAGACTCAAAAGAGCTAAAGAGTTGCTTCGCTTGGCCGAAAGTGGTGGTGTACGAAGTGCAAGAACTTACACCGCAACTGATAGAAAATAGACTCAAACGAGCTAAAGGGTTGCTTCGCTTGGTCGAAAGTGGTGAACTGCCGAATTTAGTTTGGTTTGGTTCTCCGATGAGAAAACATTCGTTGTCCAGCAGTTTGTAAATAAACAAAATGGTCGTGTTTACTTGCCAAAGAGGTCAGCTGAAAATGTACACCATCGGTTGGCCACCAGAACTCAATCGCCGGCTATGGTGATGGTGTGGGCCGCCATAACAGCAGATGGCCGCTCTTATTAATCAACCGTGGCATCAGAATAAATGCCGAATGATATCGCGACAACTATTCTGGAGGGTGTATTAAAGCCTTGGGCACGCAAACATTTTGGCCGTCGACCTTGGGCATTCCAACAGGACTCAGCACCATCGCACTCAACACGCGCCACCCAAAAATGGTTGCAAAATGAGATTCCTCGCTTCATTTCCAGGGCACAATGACCGGCCACCAAAAACTTCAGATACCAAACCGTTGGACTATTGAGCCTGGAGGATTTTGGAAAGCAAGGTTGGCATTAAAAAATACCAATGTGTCGATCACCTCAAGCAAGCGATTCGCTGGGAATGGTTACAAAATGAGATTCCTCGCTTCATTTCCAGCGCACAATGGCCACCAAAATCTCTGGATACCAATCCGTTGGACTATTGAGTCTGGAGTATTTTGGAAAGCAAGGTTGGCAATGTGTCGATCACCTCAAGCAAGCGCTTCGCCGGGAATGGACCAAAATACCGCATAGCAACATTCTGGCGGGGTGTGACGGTTTCATTGGCCGTTTAAAGGCCATAATTCGTGCCAAAGATGACCAATTGGAACAAATCTAAACTTATTCTAAAATTTGATGCTATTTCCGATACTTTTTATGCAAAAAAAAATTAAAAAAAAAAAAATAAAAATATGGCGTTTGACTTTGTTCCTGTTTGAATGGTTTCTATAGACAGAAACACCTTTGGAAATCTTTTATAAACAGAAGGGCATTTGGAGTTCTTCTACAGACAGACGATCCTTCTATAGACAAAAGGTCCGTCCCTCCATTGACTGAACATCCTTTGAAAAACTCTGCAGGCAGAAGGCCCTTTAAAAGAATTAAATGCCATCTTTAGACAGAAAATCATCTGAAAGCCTTTAATAGTCAGAATACCCATTGAAGTACTTCTATGGACAGAGGACTCTTTAAATGACTTCTATGGAGGGATGATCTTTTGATGGCCTTTTATAGACTAAAAACATTTAAAAAAAACTCCAATTGGCAGAAGATCCATTGAAGGCCTTCTATGACAAAAGTCCTTTTTCAAAGGTCCTCTATTAACAAAAGACCTTTAAATGCTAAATGTTTTTCAATTATGCCGACGAAAGGCCTATTAAATCTTTGGATCTAGTAGAACCCGATTTCATCATCGATGCCCAAAAAACGAAAAACAAACCTACCTTAGCTGATGACTATTGTCTATTGTTTGTGCCATTAGCTTTTGTTGTTGTCGATTTATTCAGAAGGTTTTTGCTGGTGTTGCCGTTGTTGTTGTTGTTGGCTTGTTGATTGTTTCCAATTGTCATTCCAGATGGAACTTAAACCACCGAACAAATTAAACATGGGCATATTGTCAGAAACATTTAAGCCACTTGCGTTGTTGTTGTTGGTGGTGGCATTTAAGTTGTTATTTGAAGCAGAAGTTGAAACAGCGGTAGCAGCTGATGAAGAGGTGACAGCAATTGTATGGGGTATGGTGTTGTTGGCTTCCATATTTATTGGAAACTGTTGGTTCGGGGCATAATGTTGTTCCATGCTGCTGGGCACTGGTGCAATCCATTGCGAAGAGGATGTGGCGGGCCCAAAGATATCCCCATTTGAGTGATGAGATGTGGGTAAATTTCCAACACCATTTCCCAAAAATGCTGTCCAGCCTGGATTTGGAGTTACAGCCGTTGTCGTCCAGTTGTTGTTTAACATTTGATTGTAATTCAGAAATTGCTGTTGTTGCTGCTGCTGTTGTTGTTGTAACAATTGCTCCTCCAACTGTTGTAGTCTAAGGATTTCATGGGCCTTTATTGCCCTCAATTTGGCCGCAATATCAAAATCATGTTGCTGTTGCTGCTGCTGTTTCTGGGCCGCATTGGCTGCCGCAATTTGCTGGATGGTCTGACGAGCTGTTAATAAATTATTTAAACCATAATTGGGTTGGCCTTGCAAATCATAGGCCAGAGTAGACGGATGTGGAGGAAGAGGAGGAGGAGGAGCAGGGGAAGTTATTGCTGAAGTAGTTGTTATGGTTGTATTCAATGGCCTCGGTAATTGCAAGCTTATGGCACTGTTCATTGTCTCCCAGGCAGGAGTCGAGGAGGGGGATTTTCTGGAACCAATGGGACCCAAATCAGCCTTGCTAGAAGGTACATCGGAATTTTCGGCTCTTGCAAATGGTGGCGGTGGTGTAGAGGATGCCGTTGAGGGTTGAGACATGGCATCGTACATTAGATCGGTATTGAGCAATGTTGTTGCTGTCGAATTGGAATTGGAGTTGGCCGTGGCCTGGGCATTGGCAAATTGTTGGGTCTGTTGCAAAACATCACTAAATGTAATGTGACTGCTGTAGTCCCAGGGCGATAAAACATCCTGATGAAATGTTTGATCATTGTGGTCATTGGCCGCTGCCGCCATCTGGGAATAAATCGAATTTGCATGGCCCATGGAGTGTCCGGGAAATTTAAGAGAATTCATGGCTCGACTTTTTTGGGGTTTGCGTTCGAAACGTTTGGCTGTATTGTGTTGTGGATGCTGAGGTAATGAACTGGAGGACGAAGACGACGTGGAGGCCGATGAACAAGATGAGGTTGTGGGTGAGGTATTTTGTGTTGTTTGTTTTCGCCTTTCACGACCCGGAGTTTTACCCAGCTTACGACCATTGCTGGCCTCCTTTGGCATGGGGGTTTGTTGATTTGTTATCTCCGTCATGGGCATGGCGTTAACTTTGTTTACAGGCACTGTTGCAGTTGAAACCGGCGATGTGGTCGATTGAATAACTGGCGGAGGAGTTCTCACTTGCCGTGTGGTTATTGGCTCCACGTGTGTGGGTATTGAGCTATCCAATGACTTTCTTTGTTCTTTGGATGGCATAGCGGCGGCACTGATCTGATGATCCGGACTAGATATGGTTTTGTTCGTTGGACTCTTGTTTATGACTGGCTTTTCCTTTTTCATTTCTTTACTCACCACTGGCTCCTCTTTGGAAGTTTTGACTTCTTCTTCACTTGGTTTGGAGGGTGTTTTTTCAGTTGCCTTGGGTGCTTTCTTTGAAATTTGTGCCTTCTTCAAATCTTCATCCATTTTTTCCACCAAGGATTTTTCCGTCAATTTATTTTTACAGGTTTTCGCATCACTCATCGTGTTACTGGAATTGGCTGTGGGTGTTGCACTCGCCGCATCTCTTGGTCTATTCATTTTGTTTGTCTTTTTGCCTGTCTTTGTACCAAAAGTCCAACTAACCATTTCGGCCAGTGTCATATTGGGTAGAGCTGAGAATGAAGAACTAGTCGAAGATGATGTTATCGCCACCTCACCATTGGTCGTCATTCTCTGTTGTTTGCCACCAATGTTGCGCTTCTTCAAACCACTTTTGTTTTTCAGCGTCAGCTCCACATTCGCCGCGGTATTTTCATTATTATTCTGACGCATGGCGATGTTTCTTAAATTAAAAGTTGGATGAATGGTGCCTTTTTCCCGGGCCCCATACAGCGTTGATTGGGTATACATTATATTGCCATAGTCTATGTGAACGGCAATGAGTACCAGGACAAATGTTATTATAAGCATAATAATGGTGGCATTACGTATCTTGCCTTCCCACGGAGGCCGGGGCAACAGAGCGCTGCACTGATCCAATCCTTTGGAGGGCAATTGGGCCACCAACTTATAATTTACGGCATAGGTTAGATTTGTTTTCAACGTAAGAACTTTTGTGATACGTGTCGCAGTGAAATCGGTTTGAAATTGAATTTCAATTGTTTTCGAAGAATTTGCCTTCAGTTCGAAACTTTTACAATCCATTATTTGGAACCCGTAGCCCTTGCAGGGTTGATCACCAATCCAGAAACTCTCAATCCATATGGGCAGTTCTCCGGAATTGCGGGCTGTGAAAACACGTCGTGTTGTTATCTGAAACAAAAAAAGGGCGAGAAGTATTTTTAGTTTGATTTCAAATCAGGAGGCTATTCTTCTAAAGGTGATCAAGATAATACTTAAATTATTTGGCCTCTGAATTACATCGTAAAACGAAATTTTAAAATTTACAAGAGAACTTTAAAACCGGGACGTACCCAGGAGTTTCACTCCGAAATATTAATATTTCCGACTTGGTACATTTTACATGGCTAAAAGCTATTTTTTGGATAGTTAGCAACCCCACATCATAACCCGACTCGGTTCTGAAATGGAATTCTTTGCCAAAAGTGGTATTTTTCTCTCACCTGAGGATGTGCGATCGCCGCTTGTTTATCCTCCCTGGGAGGACATGCTGCCCTCAATTGCTGCTCCGAAATTTCAAACAACAATGGTGTGGGCGAACCCGGTTTTCGATTCCCCAGACGAAATTGTGATTGTACCGCCTTGGCACTAATCCAGGTACCTTCATACAATGTCAAATTGTTGCGTATATGCAGGAGGGTACAATAATTACCCATAGATGAAGCTCGAAATGTAATAGGCACTCGTATGGATGTTAAACCTGGTATCAATATTGGTTTCTTGGGTGGTGGATTGACCAAAGAGAAGACCGCCTTATCGGTCAAATAGCACGTGGGTGTTAGAATAATCACCTCCAGTGGCAAGGTGATTTGTGTTTGTTTCGCCAATTTCGGATCGGCGAGAGAATAATCAATGAGTATGGGCCTATCGGAGGGATTTGAAATTTTCACCTCAAATACTTGGGTTTTATTCACCTCCACTGTTGGTATGACTTGCCGCGTCGGTATCAATTGCGGCCATTGTATTTCAATCATAAGATTTAACTGGAAATCCTGTTGTTCTCTTGTCGTCATTGTGAAGTCCAAACTTTGAAAATAGGATTTAAAGTGACGATACAATTCGGTACGTCTTCTCAGTTCAACCTCATCGAAATGTGGCATATTGAGAATTTTATCAACTTGTGAACTGATGGGAAAGGTGGTGGCCTCATCCGTTTGCTGGGGTATGTAACAGCGGCTGCCACACAAGGCGGAGGGTTCAAAGTAAATGCGACCCACAGTTGTTACGGAATTGGCGGCAATCATAGAACCTTGGGAATTTCGATCAACAAACCGCAAACCTGGATCACTAAAATTTATATATTTCATGTGTATAGGCTGATTGAAAGTGGATCGTATACTCAGCTCTGAAGAACATATTTTACCCTGAAAAAGAGGTGCAATTAGATTTGGGGTTTTTAAGGTGTTTTTTACTAAGGACAGCTTTTGAAAGAACATATCCAAACCCATTTTTGTGACGTTTTTGGTATGTGCTTTCAAGCAACCGCCTCTCTCGACTTACCGGAAAACAATTGGCAAAATGTAATTTCTCCTGATCCACCTCCAGTTTGCCAAAAACAATATTGAACTTAATGGCTATGGTTATATTTTCATAGGTCGTGGCTATGTTCAAATAGGCTGTACTTAACTCTGTATATGGCAACAAATTAACCTCAAAAACGGCAATATCTCCCTCCTGCAATATGGAATTCAGCCGGTAATCACATTTCTCCAAATCAACTGTATAATCATTGCTGGCATTTATATCCATTGCCCGGACGGAACCGGCAAATTTCACCACATAGTAGATACCCGATGTCTTCTGGAAATCCCAATTGTTCAACTTGATGGGTATCGAATTGCGATTTTGCAAAATAATAAAACCCTTGTGGGAGAACTCACGAAAGGGTACGGAACTTAATTGTATTTCTTTGGTATAAACTGAGCTATTTGAGCGCCATAACGACAGCGTTTGGGTGGTCACAAACAAACGTGTAGAACTTACAACAAAGGGTATTTGGAAATTTGTTATATTCGTGTAAACATAAACGGCAGTCTTATAATTTCTTATCAGATCTTTGAGATCTTCCTGTTGTTCTTTTTGTTCGCCTGTGCGGGTGGCCAATCTAAATGCCACAGTTAAGTCCAATGTATGACCTGGCTGTAGTACCAGATTATTTTCTTGCAAATTTTTCAGGGGTTCCAGGTATAAATTTAGCTTAGAGCTATCATTGAACCTGGTTGTTATATTGTAGATTTGTATTGGAATTTGAAAATCATTGCGCAGCGTTATGTGCCTTGGCTTTTCCAGATTTCCATTTACATCTAAGGATGATGCCGGCACCACAGTACTGTCATTGGCCTTTGCTGGCCGAGGTAGGGTTAATTCTTGATCCAATATCAAGGTTGAATTTTTATCATAGTGCAATGAGCCTTTGAAAATACGAGCACGTACTATAAGCTCCACATTGTGATATGTATGCACCGCTGTTTTTGTTGTTCTATGCTTAAGTATCAGTTTTAAATTTTCATTTAAATATGTGACTGGCTCTGAAACTTCCTTTGGATCTAAGGCAATTGTTGAGATATCTATATTACTTGTCCCGTCATCATCGGCATCGTCACCATCATCATTACTTGCCATACTCGTGTCCATTGTGACCCCCTTTAACGGCGTCAGAGATTCAAATTCCAAATTTTGTATATCCAATTGATTTTTGGAATGCCTTAGAAAAAGTTTTTGTTTGAGGATTTTTTTCTTTGTGGTTTCGGCAATGGTTACATAACCGAAATCAATGAGAGGATTAACTGCATACAATCCATATTCGGGTAATATTTCAAATTCAACTGGTATTACCAAGACTTGTTCTTTTGTGTGAGGCATTGAGGCAGACGATGAGTCTGTCGATGTTGCCTCACTTTCACCTTCATGTCCCCTCTCTTCTTCTCCTTCTCCTTGCTGTTGGGGTTCGGCTATTTTTATACGTATATAGGCCGAGTGATTACCGGCCGTATAGCCCTGAAAACGTATACGTATAATGGGTTTCATACTGTACGGTGGTATTTCCCACAGTCCTTGTGGTCCTTCTGGATCTCCGCTTGGTAATTCTAGTTGAAATTGACCGCCACTGCTGTAGATCTGAAAGAACACAAAAGTAAGGATATATTAATAAAAGGGTTGTAATTGGACCAATCGAAAGAAGGAAAGAATGTGGAAATCGAAGCGAGATCGACCCATAGTTAATTTTAAGTTACTTTACTTTCTGAACAAAATGCTGATCGCGCATATATTATACGATTGAGATGAAATTCTCCAAACAATATTTGTTTGGTCCAAGGACGAACCCTATTGAAATTGGGGATAATCGGATCAGATTTGGATATAGCTCCCATACACCGAACCGAATTCGGGTTAATTCTGCACCAAATGACCAATATAAGTCCAAATGACCTGAAATTTAGTACATTCCACCAAATTCAATCTAGAAGCAAGTACATTAAATTTGGTGAAAATCGGTTCAGATATAGCTATGGCTCCCATATGTATACTTCATCCGATTTGGTGTTTCAGTCCCTCACATTCGTACTATGCATTCGACAACAATGATATTTGGTTCCAGGTATCTTATAGAGCTCGGAAATACCTCTGCCCAATTTTATCAAGATTGGTTCAGATATAGCTCCAATATAGATCTTCAACCGATTTCAAATTAATTGTGCACCAAATGGTCAATATCTGTTAAAAAGTTCTAAATTTTGGTACATCCGACCGAATTCAATCTAGAAGCAAGTACATCAAATTTGGAGAAAATCGGTTCAGACATAGCTATAGCTCCCATATAAATGTTTCATCCGATTTGGTGTTTAAGTTCCTCACACGCGTAATATGCACTCCACAACAATAATATTTGGTACCAGATACCAGATACAGCTCAGAAAAAAGTACCTAAAATGTTGTCAAGATCGGTTCTGATTTGGATATAGCTCCCATATATATTTTTACCCGATATCGGGTTTATTGTGCAAATAATGGCCAATATCAGCCCAAATGGAGTGAATTACGGGACATACGTTTCCATTTTGTGGAACTCAGCTCCGATATATATTTTTTAATATAATCCTGATATCCTACACTCTATAGCAATGTTATTTGACAGCACCTGTAGTTCTAGAACCATATTTATTTTTAAAAATTTTTATATTAAAATAGCGTGAAATTTCTATTTTCTAGAAGGCTATGATGGATTCCTGAAGACCCTCATAAAGTGATTTTAAACGGATTTCTAGAGAACAATCTTCGATGTCGCCTTATTTAACTATGAGGAATCACTCCTCATACAAACCTGGAAAACTATATGTATTTTACAACAAACCTTTTGGGAGATCTTCATTCCTTAAAGTAAACATTTTCAATTGTTTTTTTTTACAAAATTTAAATTAAAAAATTGTATAGCCATCTTACCTCCAATATCTGCAATGATCTCTCGTGTGGATTATACATGTGTATCATGGGCATAAGGGTGGCATTTAATGGCGCCTTAATGCCAACCAATGGCTTCAATCTATACGGACATTCACGTCCTTCGCCCCGCACCATTAACAGTAGCTGGCCAAATGATGTGTGTATGTGTAAATTTGTGCTGACAGCACCATTTTCCCGGGGCAAAAAGACCACATCGAATGTTGTATTGCCATTCGGTGGGACTGTCTTGGCTTCAAAAAGGCTACTGTAGAACGATGGTGTCCGTCCCGTAACCGAACTAAGATAAACACTGCGGTTACGATTTTGATTGACCAGGGTCACAGTGTGAGATTGTACGGTTCCCACCGACCATATACCAAAATCCAATTGGCTTGGCTCGAAACGTAAACGATTTAATAGTTCTAAACCTATATCGCCGCCGTCTGCAACAACTCCAGCTACTCCGTTGCCCACACCACTACCTCCACCGCCACCACCACCGGCATCTGTTATATCTTTGAGTGTGGCCGTTGCCGATTGTTGTGTCTCCAAGTGATGGCCATCATGTTTCAAATCGGCCGCAGCATTTCTATTTTCCGAAATCGAAATCTCCACTTCACTGGCGAAAGCACACATTGTAGTTGTAAGGAAAGCTAAAACTAGCATTGATAACCGCAAGCGTTGATAAGAACACATCGTTCGTATGTTTGTGTCTTTGTGTGTTGTTTATAATTTGTTTTTTGCTTGATCAACGTCGCCGATACGACTGTTGTTTCTTCACCCAGCCTGCCCGCCTGTCTGTCTTGTGGTGTTTATTTTTATTTATAAACACCTAAATTCCAAAACGCGAAAATCTGTTCACAAAATGTCTGCTACTCCACCTTTGAAGTATTTTATGCGTGCTTTTTGCGTCTTCTCGTTCCTGTGTTTGTCTGTCGCCGCCACTGCCGCCGCTTATGCTGCTCCTTTTTATTTCAAAATAAAACTTCGCAACACCATAAACAACCAACCATACCTCTGGCACTTCTGGCAAACACAACAGGATGACGATTACTCTTCTAACGTTGACAACCGACGAACCGACGATAATAATGATGTTGTTTTTGTTCTTCCTTTTTGCGAATTGTTCTTCTGCTATCTGGTGCTGCTGCTGTTTGATGTGATGATTTGCCCGTTGCGTTGGTCTTCTTACGATATTCATTAGAAGAATTTTACGTTGTTTCTGACCTTTGTAGTTCTGTACGTAAAATTGTATACTTTATTATTTTGTTACTTCAATCTCTGAAAGACAATTAGCAAATCGTTTTGCATAATGGTCTTTATTTAAACAAATAATTCTGCTTCTTTTACCGTAATAGTCAATTTTTATACGTCTCTATCAAAAACACTCTTTACTTAAGAGTTGCCAAGGTGCCGTTAAATTAACTGTCATTATTGTGGTGTGGGGAAAAGGCAGAAATTGTAAAATACGGGGAAAATAGAAAATCTCCTGAATTGTGAGTTTTTGCTAAACTTCCCTTGTTAGTGACAGTGTCTCCAAGCACTAATTGAGCATTATTGATATTAAAACAAATACATGATGGTAGGTGTTTAAATGTGATGTGTGTAACATGTAGGATGTATGTAAACATGTAGTCAAAAGCAACTACTTAAAATGTAGTAGATGACATGTACTGTCAAATATTTGATATGCGAAGGTTACACGTATTTGTATTTTGAACGTTATTCCTTAAAAAGAACCTCTTATATAAATTCCCCTTTTAAAATGAGTACGCCAAAAAAGATAATTAAACTTTGCTCTCCTTGGGTGTGGATTAAGTAACTGCTTCGATCTTCGCAGAAACTACGTCCATTCGCTCTGAGAGAATTGTTTTGTCAAGAAAGTACGGGAACGGAATACTTATAAACATGTAAAATACCGATGGTAATCCTTCAAAACCAACATCTTAGACAAATTCGATGATAACGGTGAAACAGATAGTGACTTCGGCGTAAAAATTCAACCCTGTTGCATTTTTGGCTGAACGAAGCATGAAAATACAACACGCGGAATTCAAGATTTAAGCCTTTACAGACTGTTTTAGCCTTTACAGCTAGTTTAAGCTGTCAGCTGTTAATTATAGGTCTGTCTGAACTTCTGTCTGAGATAGCAAGGTAGTTTTATTCTTTTTGCAAAAAGACTCTAAAAAAGCAAATATACGGAATCCCTGTTGATTTGGCGTAGAAAAAAAAAAACACAAAAAACCATTGTATTTTCTTAAAAATTAAAAAAGCAATCCCAAAAAGGAGTTATATCCGCTTATGCAACTTTGTTCTCCATTATACAAAACAATAAGGTGAGAATACATAAAACGCTTTTTTGACTGGCTTAATTCATCATAAGAATAAAGGAGCGTAGAAGATGCCAGCCGCTGAATTAAGCCAATCAAAAAGCGTTTTAAGTGTTCTCCTCTAAAATATTTTCAATTTTTCTTACACAACAATTTATTACAGGGACTAAGAAGTAGTGGTGCAAGTGGTTGAAATAAAAGGCTATTTTGACTGGCTTAAGCTATCGACTGGTTTTTTCGTAAAATATTTTAGGGTGACTTAGTTCGATTTTGGTTCATCATTTATACTCCGCCTTAACTTACGATGACTTAAGACAAAAAAATCGTTCTGTGTGGCGCCAAATAATTATTTTACCTCTAACAAGGCAGGAGTAACGAATAAAACGGAAACAAAACATCTTTATGTAGTTGCGCCTTTAGTAAAAGTCAACGCTCGCATCGCTACCTTTTGCAAAAATTTAAGGTTAACAGCCGATTTGCAGTATTTTACCATTTTTCACATTACGTATTGAATTTGTGCATCTACCTTTATTCTTCTATCATGATTTCTCTATTTTCCAAATTACGCATTGAGTTGAGTATAGTATAACTTGGCAACCCTATTTATTATATCACATATAAGACAATGTTTACACAGTTGTAATCAAATTTTAGCAACATAGAGGGAGAATAAAACGGCTGCTTTGTAGGAGAAAATATATATATTATGGTAATACTGATCCAAAAACGTTAATTCGTCCATTTTCAACATTAAAAGTATTCTTTTTTAATTTTCCCGCATCTATTTTAAAACAGAAATCACAAAAGTGGCATTTCTCAAGAGATAAGATAGATTCAAAATATGGCAACCCTGTGAAAATGCCTCTGTTGTTATGACACAGCAAAGCTACCAATGTTAACTTCTTTCATGTTAGAAGAATATATATAGACGCATCGACACAGCTGCTGGGACAATGAACTGTCAAACCAATTTTGAAATTGAAAAGGTTGAATGAAAAATTATTAAAATTAGTAAAAATTGTTGAAAATGCATATTATATCAACCTCTGATTGGCATCGTATTGTCTAGTCTAGGTCTTTGGCCTAGTCCTTTTAAAATTCATCACTTATTTAAATTTAGCGAAGTTTTTAAAAGTTTACCATGAAATATTCTCGGCAGAACTTTATTTGTTTCAATTGCGACAAATTTTTAACAATCAATTCTTCAAAAAAAAAATGTTAGCAACATACCTAGAAAACATTCTTTAAAATTCCCTGGAAAATATTGTATTTTTATAATAAACCATTCACATACATACCACTACATACTTTACATCATTGATATTGTTGCAATTAACAACGCATTTTTATAAATATGTTATTCTTTTTTTATTTATAATAATTATTTTATACTCTTTCCGTTATAGTTTTTCTTATAAGTTCTTAAAATTATTATCCAGACATATGGTATTTGTAATTATTATTATTAAATAAGAGTCCTAATTTGTTTATATACCGCGCTTTATGTTTTCAAACTATTGAACAATTGTGCATTTATATTTAATATTTTCCATTGCAAGTCAACAACAAGTACATATTTTTTTTCAAATATTTGTTTTAAATTTCGAGTGCACTTTTTCACAAAAAAAAACCTAAGTGTAGTTGCAATAAAATATGTATATGTATTATTAATAAATTCTCTTTAATATCAATACATGCATATATAATACACATTAAATTGTGTACATTTGATAGTAAATTTACGAATTTTAATTGAATAGCAAACACAAATTAAGTATCAATTAAAAGAAAAAAATTGTAAAACTATTTGAGAAAAAATTGTTGGTAGATCTTTTGTTGGAAAAAAGCAAAAAAAAAAACGACAATTATCATTATCATATGAGTGAACAATTGTTTCATATAAATGCCATGCTGCTAAAATATGTAAAAAATAATGTATAAAAAATTTAGGGCATAAAAGGAAATGAAATTTTACAAAAATAAAGGGGAATGGGAAAAAAGTGTGTGACGACGACGACATGGTGGTGGTTGTTTAATGGATTTTACGCATTTCCTTGTGAATGAAGAAGCAGAAAAAGGAAATATTTGCAGAATTTTGTGATGCTTGAGAGGAGAAACATTTCATACACAAAAAGGTAAAAAAAGAGAACAGATTTAATTAAACTGTTCTGGCATCACATAGGAGATATCATCCCAAGGATGGCGGTAAAGACCCTGTTTCAAACGCTTCTGATCCATGTAATGGCCAATGAAACCTATGCTGCGGCCAAGCACAAACAAGGAATTGATGGCACCAATATTAATGTACTCTTGGGCTTCCTCACTGAAAGTATAGAACGGAACAAATTACTTTATGCTTTTCGATATGACATTCTACCCTCTTACCTGGTAAATGATCCACAGTTGCGCAACATATCTACAAAACAGGTGGCTATAACACCATCGACATTGAGAATCAAATTGGGTTTTTTGCTGGTGGTGATTTTCTCAACCTCCAAAGCATATTTCAATAATGGGCAGGCAGGGAAATTGTCCAACACAAATTCTTTGATGATTTTTACACGAACATCGGGATTGTTGATGGATTTTACACGATGACCAATACCCATGATCAGTTGGCCCTTCTTGCGCATTTGGTTGACGAATTCCATGGGATGCAGGCTGGAGTCATAGGCCTCGGAGAATTGGCGGGCAGCACCATCCAAAGCACCACCAAAACGATCACCCTAAAATAAATAAATCAAATTTTGAATTAATCCAAAATATTGAAAACAATTCGAGGTGAACTTACAATTGTCAAAAGACCACTGACAACGGAGGACACCAAATCCTTGCCAGCACGGGCACACACAATGGTGTTGTGGGCACCCGACACAGCTGGACCATGATCGGCCGTGACCATTAGACACATTTCAAAGAATTTACAGACATAGGGAGGCAAGCATCGTTGGAACCACAACAGCGAGATAACACCACCAATACCAACATCCTTGTTCAAAACTTCACTAATTGGCATGCCGGCATAGATCAACTCCTGACCACGTTCATCACAAATGGAGGTCATAAAACTGGCTGGCTTACGAATCAAACCCAATTCACGTGCCCAGGCATAATCCATGGGTACGGTGGGTGGTGGCACCTCTTCACGTGGAACAATACGACCTGACTTCACCAATTCGGCATAGACTTGTTGCACTAAATCTCCCAACGAATCAAACGAGTCGGGTACATAGGCACCGGCCTCTCTCAAGGCTTTGTTCTTGGCTGTGGCGGTTTCACGATCCGAATTGGCACATGACCCGGCATGTCCAAATTGTACCTCGGAGGTGAACATTGAGGCACAGGTACCAATACACCAGGCCACCAAAGGTTTGGTAATGCGTCCATCCTTCAAGGCAGCACACACCTCATACTCCTCGGTGCCACCAACCTCACCCAGCAGAACAATCAGCTTGGCATCAGCATCGTTTTGATAACGCATAATGTGATCCATGAATGTGGTGCCGGGATAGCGATCACCACCAATGGCAATGCCCTCCAAAACACCATCTGTGGCCTTCGAAATAATGTTGTTCAATTCATTGGACATGCCACCCGATCGCGAGACATAGGCCACACTACCGGGACGATAGAGTTTCGAGTGCAGAATATTATCCAACATACCACCAGTGTTGCCAATCTTAAAGCATCCCGGTTTAACACCACCCACGGTGGCGGGACCAATAATGGCCACACCCTTCTTGTTGGCAGCCAATATCATTTTGCGTGTCATATTTTCGGGTATACCTTCAGCAATGATGGCCACGGTGCGAATTTGTGGATATTCCAAAACTTCCAAGGTCGATTCGTAGGCCGAACGCAAGGATGCAAAATTCACCATAACATCAACGTCTTTGTGTTTGTTAATGGCATCGGACATTTTCTTGTAGACAGGAATCAGGATTTCGGTGTGACCCCAGTAGAATTTCTGCTTATGATCACCGGTGAAGGGGTATACCATGGCAACGACGGAGGGTTCATCGCGTCTATGAGGAAAAGGGAAAAATGTTTTCGAGTGATTCACAAAAGATTTTAACA